ACAAAAGAAATAAGAATCTTTGAGATTTACTGGTCTGAAATTACCCCACTTATTGTTATAAGAAGATATCACACATGAAGAAGAAGGGAAGTTTTAAATGTATTGCATGTGTTACTTGTAGCCACAATTTGACTGGTTCCACATTTGCTCACCCTCACAGTGATCAATGGATTCCAATCAAACACCATATTACTTGTACCACTGATCACGTTATATATATGATAACATGCCCATGTGGCTTAGCATATATTGGAAAGACTAATCTTATTATAAGAGACCGGTTCAGAGGTCACAGATCTAGCATTATGACAGAGTTTCGTGATCAGCACACAGACAAACCGGTTGCTAAATGTTTTTTTAGCAGCTCAACACCATTTACCTACTTTTCTTTCATTGCCATCGATCATGTCCCTCCTTTACCCCAGGGGGATGACAGACCCAAAGTCCTTTTACAACGGGAAGCACACTGGATCCATTTTCTGGACACAGTAGCTCCCAGATGCCTCAATGAAAATGTAATGTTTATGATTTTGTGATTTATGTTTATAACCATTTGTCTGCTAAATGGTTTCCAAAATGATTTTGTTAGAAGATGAGTTAATCTATTTTTAGTTTATTTGTAATTATGCTCTTCCATTTTTTAATGTAGTGTATGTGGTTTAATATACATATCTGTGAGTGGTTAAACACCATACTGGATTTGGCTATATACATTTATTTATTTTTATTGAAATATTGCAATTGTATAAAAAAGTTCTGATTAAAAAGTACAAATCGGTTGTCGTAATTTCACATAATTTCACGTAACAATAGACAGTCTCCGTTTTTGTTGCAATGCTGTAAACATCAGTTTATAACAAATAACTTAAGCTATTGTAGGTGGGTGTCTCGGTTTTCGACTCCTGTTTTATTGTGGTAACCCTGTTGGTGGTTTCAGGATTGCTAGAGGGTGGGAAGGGGGGTTGGGGGGTGGGAACAGCAGTAGTGGTGATGACTAGGGGCTAAGGATATTTACACCAAGGTTCCCATATAGAGGTGTACACATGGTATTTATCTGTTAATGAGTGGCGTGTTTCTTCCAGGCCTCTGGTTGTTTCGACCCTTTGTATCCAGCCACGGTTGGTTCCAGAATGCGGGGATGAGTTGTTTGCGGCTGATATTAGATACAATAACAGAGCTACTTTCAGTTTGGGTACTGTTTGGGGGGTTACGAGGAAGAGAAAGATGTCTGGTGTGAGTGGGATGCTTATGTTTAGTATGGTCTGGATCAGGCCATGTATTAGTTTCCAGTACCCGTGGACTACTGGGCACGACCACCAAATGTGTGTCGTGTTGCCATCTGGTTTGTGGCACCTTCGCATTGGTTTGGAAGTAAGGGAAATAGTGATTTTAGTTTTGATGGCATGCAGTGCCACCGCACTATCCTTTTGAAATTGCCTTCTTGGGTTAATGTGTTTCGTGAGGAGCTATGGATTTGTTTAAATATTAAACACCATGTGTCTGGTGGTATAACATGGTTGAGTTCCTTTTCCCATGATGTAGTGAAGGCTGGTGGGTGGTGAGGCTGTGTCAGTGAGATCGTGGCATACATCACCGAAATAAGTATTTTCTTTATGGTTTGTTCATTGCAGTGTTGTTCAAATCGTGTTTGTGCTCAAAATGATTTGTGTGCCAATGGTCCTGTGCAAATAAAATGAGTAAGCTGCCTGGATTGGAATGTTTGTATTGCTGTTTGCGAGTCAGTGAATGTGTGGAGTTGTTTTATCTGTTGTTCTCCCGTTTCTTCCATGAGGTCTCCTAATTTTGGGGAATTTTGAGTTATGATATAATTTGAATGCTTTACCATCCTCCCCGGGGTGGAAAAGAGGGTTATGTGTGATCGGGTAGAGTGGGGATGGGTAATGGGATATCATTTGATGCTATCGCAATTTGGCCCACATGCGGAGTGTAAGGGTGATAGTCGGGTGGGGATTTTGGAGTAGGAGCGCATGTTCCGTTTTTTGCCACGGTATTGTATATATGGGTGCCCTGAAGCATGTATTCTCTATTTTCACCCATTGTTTAGTGGAGTGCAGGAATGACCAGTGGTATATTCTAGTTAGAAGAATTGCGTTGTGATATCTTTCTATGTCTGGCAGGCCCAAACCCCCCTCCTCTTTCGGTCTTGTGAGGAGTGAGTATGAGAGCTGTGGATATTTGTGAGCCCAAATGTAAGTCGTAAGTGTCCTACGAACCAGTATGAACCACGCCTTAGGCAGTAATACTTAGGCAGTAATACTTGCAACAGGTATAACATTCTGGGCAAAACGTTCATTTTGAAGATATTCAGCCTACAAAACCACCCAAATTGTGGCTTATTCCAGGCATTGAGGCCTGCGGTTATGTCCCTCATCAGTTTAGGGAAGTTACTTTCAAACAGATGTGTTGCGTCCTTGGTTATGTGGATTCCCGGATATTTAATGCTGTGAAGGGCCCAAACAAACTGGTGTTTTTGTTGTATTGTAGTCCTGTCTTGGGTGCAGATGTGTATTGGCAGAATATCGCATTTAGTGAGATTCTGCCTTAAAGTTGGAGAGTGTACTGTATGCGTTCATCTCTGCCATCAGGGGAGGTATAGATGTTTTAGGTTCAGAGATTGTGAAAAGCATATCGTCTGTAAACGCTGCTATTTTGTGTTCTTCTGTGCCTACTGTGATTCCCTTGATTTGCGTATTGTCTCTGATCCCCTGCAGGAATGGTTCTAAAACCAAGACAAATAGGAGAGGGGATAGAGGGCACACCTGTCTGGTACCATAAGTTATCTTTACTGGCTCTGATAATTGTCCGTTGCAGATGTTCGCTGTGGGGTTTGAGTATATAGCATTAAACCATTTTTGCCAGTGGGGCCAAAGCCCATATGTTGTAGGGTATGTAATAGCAAGGTCCAGTCCACCCTGACGAACACCTTTTCAGCATCAATTGACAGGAAAAGACTGGAACATCGTGTACGTGTGGCCTGGTGTTTGAAGTTTAGTAATTTGGTGATGTTGTGCTTAGCCTCCCTTCCCAGTATGATCTGCGTGGATTAGGCCTGTTAGCAGTGGACAAAGTCTATTGGCTAGTATTTTCGTGAAAAGCTTCAAGTCTATGTTTATTAGCGAGATCGGCCTGTAGCTTCCACATTGGGTCAGGTTCTTTTCCCGGTTTTGGTAAAAGAGTGATTGTTGCGTTTAGCGATTGTGGGGGGAGGGTATCTGATTTAAGTTAAACGTGTTTTGGAAGTGGGGTGCTAGTACTGTGGCAAAATTTTTGTAGTATTTTGCTGTTAGTCCATCTGGGCCTGGACTTTTCCCTATTGGTAAGCGTTTGATCCCATCCAGGCATTGGTCTTTTGAAATGGGGTTTTCTAGGGATTCTCTTGCGTTTTGTGGGATGGTGGAGTGTATTCTATTTGAGAGGAATTCATGTATGTCTGAGGCTGTGGGAGGGGTTTGTCTCAGGTTGTAGAGTGAAGAATAGTAGTCTTTAAATGCTTTTAGGATGCCAGTCATTGAATGGGAGAGTTTTCCCTCAGTGTTTCGTACGGCTCCTATAAATGTATGTTCCCTTTGTTTTTTTAGTGCATGCGCCAGCAGGTGCCAACATTTATCCCCCTGTGAATAGTAGTTGCTTCTCATTCTAGCTAGTGCGTGTTTGGTGCGCATGTTTAGGATAGTGTGGAGCTCAGTCGTTTTCTCTACCAGTATCTTGTAGGTAGCTAGATTGAGGTCCTTTTTGTGTGTTTCCTCAACCTCCCTAATTTACCTGGTTAGGCGAGTAGCGTGTAACTCCCTTTGTTTTTTGTGTCTAGATGCCGCTTGTATTATAGTGCCCCTGATTGTACTCTTGTGTGCTTCCCAAATTATAGGGTATGGTGTGTCTGGGCATACGTTGAATTCAAAGTATTGAGTCAGGGACTCCCTAATTGGGGTTTGTATCTCTGGATAATTTAGTATTGTGTTATTGAGTTTCCATGTGTTATAATGTCTCCTAATGTCCCTTAGTGTCTGTGTCCCCATAACTCCCAGTGTCCCCAAGTGTATCAGTGTTCCCATATCTCCCTGTTGTGGTAGGGTGTAGGGATGGAATTGTTATGGTCAGGGAGATTGAGGAATGGTCTTACCAGGTTATTGAGCCATATTCGCACGAGTTGACGAGGTTTAGGAATCTATGTGGTATGAGAAACACGTCAATTCTCGAGTATGAGCCTGATGAGTATGAATAGTAGGAGTAGTCACATTCAGCTGGGTGGGAGGTTTGCCAGCAGTCATATAGTTGGTGGGAATCCAAGAATTCCTGGATATGCACCCTCGTGGACGTCTGATATCTCTGGACCTGGGATGTAGTATCCAGCGCCCCGTCTAGGGATATGTTTAGATCCCCCCCAGGATTAGAAGGCCTTCTGTAAAGCTGCTCAATTTTCTGATTATTGTGCACAAGGCCTGGAATTGTTTTCTGTTAGGGAGGTAGATGTTGGCGAATGTGGTTGGGGTTTGATCCTACCAGGCCTTTTAGGAATATAAATCTACCATTGTCATCTGTCATGTGTTCCTTGTAGGTGAATGGGAGATGGGGGAGAGGAGGTCCTGTGTAGTTACTGAAGTAACCCTTTGTGTAATGCCAGATCTGAGTAAGGAAGCCGAGTCTTTACGAAAGTGTGTTTCTTGTATGAATATCACTTCAGCCTTGCGTTTGTGGTAATCCATGAGTGCCATGTGGCGTTTTTCAGGGGTGTTTAATCCCCTGGCATTGTGAGACAAGATTGACAATGTTGCCATTGCAATATATTGGGAGGAGTAGTGGAGTGGTGATCTGCTACCTATCTGTCTACCTGAACACACTCCTATGAACGTTAATCACAATATACAATGCTTACAATAAAAACAATATTGTCAGGTGTTATAAGTGTGACGTTCAAATGATAAATCGGTACCATCTCGGAAGTTTTATGCTTTTCAACAATACAATAACTATATACAATAGGTCAAATCTGTTGTTGAGTCTTAGTTCTAAGCTTTTGTGTAGTAAAGGTTGTTGCTCTCAGGCAACTGTGGAGTAACTGGGGTCAGCCCCTGAGAAGTCCCATAGTCTGCAGTGGGCTAACGTCTAATGACCCCGTTTCTAATAAGGTAGGGGTGCGTGTATGGAGTTGTGGGAGAAAAGTCTGCAGGGGGGGCCGAAGGATTCCCGCCATCAAACTTTCTCAGTATAATGTCTGTGGCTACAGTAAGGTAAGCTAAGGTGAACTTACGGAGTGAAATCGCTTGGGTTTTTGTGTATTTTCTTTGTGGAGGTTATTGAGCTGTCGGGGATGGGAGAGGCAGGGAGTTCGGAGGTACTCGGTTTTGTTTCAGATGTGAAGAGGAAATATGTTGTTTTTCTCTCTCTTTTTTTTTTAATAAATGATGTAGTGGCCTATTGGTTCCGTAATTAGCTGCTATATGTGCCCTTCCCTTAGTCCTCTTTCGTCTGGTTCTGTCGTTGCCTCCACTGTATATTTTGTTACACCATATATGTCACACCCCTGTCAAACCTGCTGTGCTCCCCGTCGGTGTTGAGTGGAGCCCAGTCTATCCTGTACCCCGTCTATGTGCGGGTAGCTGTCTCTGTAGTTATAGCTGCAACAAGTCAATATTTTAAACAAAAATGGGTACAGACATATACATGCATACAACCTTGGGTTCCGGATTTGTTAGAGTCCTACTCGTGAGTGAGTGCATAGATCGGGCTGAATTTGGGTCTTTAGTACCAACATAGTCCAATTTGGGAACATAATATGATCCATGGGAGGCGTCTGGAACTGCCTGTGGGATATATAGGCCTGCGGGATAAAGAGTTGTGATAGTCTATCTGGGACTACCTGTGTATGCCTCTTTTTTTTTTTTTGTCCTCCGCAATACCTCCCGGTCGGTTTCCTTCTCGTTGGCGGGTGCACGCTTGTCCTGTTCTCTGTCTCTTTGCCGGGGATCTCCATCTTGGTCCTTGCTGCGCTGCGGTTGAGGATAATGACGGGTCCGGCGTGTACCAGTCCTGGATGGGCGTTTCTGTCAAGTTTAGAGCTTTGATGAATTGGAGGACATCTTGGTGAGTTGTGATTGTGTACGTGGATCCTCTGGTGTTGACCAATAGGGCGAATGGAAAGCCCCATCTGTATTGCATTTTGCGTGCACGAAGCTGGTCCGTTATGGGCCTTAAGGCTCTCCTTGCTTGCAGAGTATGCCAGGAAACTTCTTCATAAATTTGTATTTCATGTCCCTGGAATAGCAGGGGGGTGGATGTTTCCCTCAGTTTCTTCAGTATATTTCTTAAGCGTGACATAATGGATGCGACATATGACATCTCTTAGTGTCTCTCCTGCCACCTATTTTTGGTTTCAGGGATTGGTGCGCTCTGTCCAGGACAACCGTGTATCTGTTGTGTGGCCAAGTATCAGGTTGAATAAAGTTGAGAGTGTGGCATATAAATTTTCCCCCTCTGCTTCTGGCAATCCCCTGATGCCGAGATTATTTCTCCGACCCCTATTATCAATATCGTCTAGGGATCGTTGTATCATAGACAAATGTCTCTCATGAGCGTTAGCCTTGGCAGATAAGGCCTGCATTTGGGTTTGGTAAGACCCCCTTTCGTCTTCCAGTCTTGCACTCTGCGGCCTACCTGTCTGATCTCTGAGCTGAGGCCTTTCATCTTGTGTTGGAAAGTAGTTTCTAATTTACCTAGCATTTGTGCTAGATCCTTTCTGGATGGCAGATTCCTCAGAATTTCTCTGACATCCATGTCTGTTGAGTTTGTGGAAGCCTCAGACGCTGTGGGGCTCAGTGGATCTGTCTGTGATCTCCGCCGTTGGCGCCATATTGGATTCGCCAGGTTCGACACACGGTCAGCGGGTTATCGTTCCCGTTTTGTCTGTCGGCGTCTTCCCGGTGTGCAGGGGATTAGTTTGGGTCCTTTTGGGGTTCCCCATAGTAGTGTTTTGCCTCCAAAATCAGCGATTTCTGTTCGTTTTACTCGGAGCTGTCTCAGTGTGCTGCCATATAGATCGGTTGCTAGCCACGCCCCCTATATACTTTTTTTTATGATTTCATTTTTCTATAATAGATATCATGGTAATAAGCATATTATAAATATATTGATTGTGCCTATTTAATGGTTTGTGAGTTTCATGTCACTTATATTCACTTTTTTGTGCATCTTCCTCACTTCGTTTATATTGTTACTTTGTCACTATTTCTCCAACTTCCACCTCGTTTTTCAGCTCACTCTCCTTCATAGGCTTGTCATTTATTTAATTTCTTTCAATCTAGGTGCTATGGGAATCCTCCCCAGATTTTATTCACACTATTTTCACTGGTTGGCGGTATCAATCATTTGATAGGTTTCACGAAGGCATGGCACGGTTGTATATTGGTAACCAAAGTAACCAGGCAATATTCCGTAGTGCGTCTATAAGTCATGACGTAACATGGGGCTTCCTTACACTTCCGAGTGGTACCGGATTGTGGGGTGACACCGCACTGATTTGGTAAGTTTCATTTTATATCTTATATATAATTGCATGAATTCATACATTCTGTGATCTTGAAAAAGAACTGACAAAGTCGAAACATCGATTTCCTTGCTGAATGTAATTTTTCTACAATAAATCACACTTTTTCCACTTCAAGACCTGTGAGTGCATCCTGAATTATTATATATATTTACATATATATATATATATATATCCAAATGGTAAGCATGACCAGCACTCATGGTTTTGTTGAAAGCTAAAAGTTGTAGTTTTATTCATACATGTTAAAAAATAACAGCTCAACGTTTCAGTCCTCTTCTGGGACTTTCATCAGGAACAATAGCCATATACAGAAAAATATATACACTGCTCAAAAAAATAAAGGTAACACAAAAATAACACATCCTAGATCTGAATTAATTAAATATTCTTCTGAAATACTTTGTTCTTTACATAGTTGAATGTCCTGACAACAAAATCACACAAAAATGTAAAAATGGAAATCAAATTTTTCAACCCATGGGGGTCTGGATTTGGAGTCACACTCAAAATTAAAGTGGAAAAACACACTAGAGGCTGATCCAACTTTGATTTAATGTCCTTAAAACAAGTCAAAATGAGGCTCAGTAGTGTGTGTGGCCTCCCTACAGCGCCTGTGCATGCTCCTGATGAGGTGGTGGATGGTGTCCTGAGGGATCTCCTCCCAGACCTGGACTAAAGCATCTGCTAACTCCTGGACAGTCTGTGGTGCAACGTGACATGATGTCCCAGATGTGCTCAATTGGATTCAGGTCTGGGGAACAGGTGGGCCAGTCCATAGCATCAATGCCTTTCTTCTTGCAGGAACTGCTGACACACTCCAGACACATGTGGTCTAGCATAGTCTTGCATTAGGAGGAACCCAGGGCCAACCGCACCAGCATATGGTCTCACAAGGGGTCTGAGGATCTCATCTCGGTACTTAATGGCAGTCAGGCTACCTCTGGCGAGCACATGGAGGGCTGTGCGGCCCCCCAAAGAAATGCCACCCCACACCATTACTGACCCACTGCCAAACCGGTCATGCTGGAGGATGTTGCAGGAAGCAGAATGTTCTCCATGGCGTATCCAGACTGTCACATGTGCTCAGTGTGAACCTGCTTTCATCTGTGAAGAGCACAGGGCGCCAGTGGCACATTTTTCCAATCTTGGTGTTCTCTGGCAAATGCCAAACGTCCTGCACAGTGTTGGGCTGTAAGCATAACCCCCACCTGTGGACGTCGGGCCCTCATACCACCCTCATGGAGTCTGTTTCTGACCATTTGAGCAGACACATGCACATTTGTGGCCTGCTGGAAGTCATTTTGCAGGGCTCTGGCAGTGCTCCTCCTGTTCCTCCTTGCACAAAGGCGAGGTAGCAGTCCTACTCTTGGGTTGTTGTCCTCCTATGGCCTCCTCCACGTCTCCTGATGTACTGGCCTGTCTCCTGGTAGCACCTCCATGCTCTGGACACTATGCTGACAGACACAGCAAACATTGCCACAGCTCGCATTGATGTGCCATCCTGGATGAGCTGAACTACCCGAGCCACTTGTGTGGGTTGTAGACTCTGACTCATGCTACCACTAGTGTGAAAGCACCACCAGCATTCAAAAGTGACCAAAACATCAGCCAGGAAGCATAGGAACTGAGAAATGGTATGTGGTCACTACCTGCAGAACCACTCTTTTATTGGGGGTGTCTTGCTAATTGCCTATAATTTCCACCTGTTGTCTATCCCATTTGCACAACAGCATGTGAAATTGATTGTCACTCAGTGTTGCTTCCTAAGTGGACAGTTTGATTTCACAGAAGTGTGATTGACTTGCAGTTACATTGTGTTGTTTAAGTTCCCAAAAAATCTGATTAAAAAATCCATTGTCCATCTGTATATAGAATGGAAAACATCAATTGTTCTATGTTAGTTGATCCTGTGTTCGGAAGCTTATGTAATATATTAAACAAAAAGATTAGAGAAGCATAAAACATTCATGCATATAAAAAAGCATTGAAATTGATAATAACTCAGATGACTGAAGGCATTGTGCAGCTAAATGCAATTTACAACAAAATATTAAAAGATGTAAACATAATTGAGTTTTTATTGTACGTTTTCTAGCTGTTGTGCTTATGTAAATTGCCTACGTTAATCACGACCGTGTTACTAGATCATTAAATTTATAAATGGAATATCAAGCTATTACAATTCTATAAATATAAACATAACATTGTGGAGGACTGATGGAAAAGATGGTGGTGGAGTAAATTTGTTATTCATTTGCAGAAAAACTCAAAGGGATTAAGGATTGACGACAGGTTAGACAATGGTTTATGGAATATGCAACATTATTCAGACTGTATCAGTGGAGTATAATGTACTGGCTAGATAAAAGAAGTAATAGATTCTGATGGAATTAGTAACAAACAATGTACCCATAGTCAGATATGGATGTATAGAAAAAAAAAGGACCATTTAGTCTATTTGATGTTTATTATTAATATTTGGTGATAATTATAATACAATATTATTTCATTAACATACTAGGAAGGTGAGTGGTTGATATTTTAATTTAATAAGACACATAAATATATTTAAATATATATATATATATATATATATATATATATATATATATATATATACATGAGACCACCCATTCAGTGTTCATTTTGTCAGCAAATTTTAATTCAGCCATTTTAGTTTTAGTTTTAGTCTTGTTTTAGTCAACTAAATCTCCAGTATATTTTAGTCGACTAAATCTTTAGTCTCAAGACAACTAAAATCAAATGGGTCTAGTTAAAACTTCTGTCACTTTTGCACCTTCCCCAGTCCCTCTGTGTCTCTTTGTGTCCTCCCAGTCCCTCTTGGTGTCTCTCTACTAAGCCCTAGTCTGTCTCTTTTGCCCCTTCCACAGCACCTCTGTGCAATGTTAATTTTGGTGGCAAATTTCAATTTAATTCTTTTGACTGTCATATTCTTTTGACTAAAAAGCCATTTTAGTTGTAGTCATGTTTTAGTCACCTGAATTGTTTGTTTTAGTCTACTTTAATTTGACTAAATCTCAAAAATTTTAATCGACTAAAATTTAGCAAAAATTGTTTGTTGACAAAATTAACATTGCAGCCAATTCGCAAGCACTTCTCTTTGAAAATCATTTTTTTCATAATTCAGCAATTCTGCTGTGTTTTTAATTGTGCTAAGTATTTATTTCTGAAAAATATATAATTGTATGTCATATTATTCTTAATTTCTCTATCCTCTGGCATATTTCCATCACCCTTCAAACATGCAACTATAACCCCAATTCTAAAGAAGCGCAACCTTGACCCTAACTCACAATCCAACTACTGTTCTATCTCCCTACTGCCTTTTGCATCCAAGATCCTTGAAAGAGTTGTGTATGCGAGATTGACAGACTTTCTCGAGTCCAACTCTCTGCTAGACCCGCTTCAGTCTGGTTTCCACGC